GTACTCATATGGTAAGTATAGCAAAAATTATTAAAACAGCTACTATAAGGCACATTAATTCAAAGGAACTTTTCATTTAATTTTCAGTCTATAAAATGTTATTTGAGAATGGCAATTTCCATATTTTATTAGAAACAATGTCCTCAGTATATTATTTAACTTCCTATACCAACTTTAGGGATAAATCCCCGAGGACTTAAACCTAATCAAATCTGGTCAAATAGATATCACTCAATAGTAGAAAGAGCCATTTATACGCTTAAGATCATTTTAAAAACAAAAAAGCAGATATTATGTGTCACCTTAAGAGAAGCTCAGTCATACTTTTTATACTTTAAAAACTTTTTTAAATTGTGATGCAGAGGATCGTACAGCAGGCGAAAGGCATCAGGCCTCCTGTACAATAGCCTCCACCTTGTTAGCTAGGTAGAAGGAAGCATAAACCAGAAAAGTGTTTTATCAGATTCAGTAATAATGCGGGGCTAGGAGTGGCTGTACATTCTTATACTGTTATCTAATCAATTAATCAAGTAGGTCCAAGCCCTCTCTAGTACCATTAATGATCTCCAAGACCAAATTGACTCCTTAGCTGAAGTTGTTCTACAAAATAGGAGACTTACTCAGAGCAGAGCAGGGAGAAATATGCTTAGCCCTACAGGAACGCTGCTGTTTCTACGCCAACAAGTCCGGAATCGTCCGAGACAAAATCAAGAAACTACAGAAAGACCTGCTGATAAAGTGGCAGAAAGAACTGTTCGAGAACCCTCTCTGGAGCGGACTAAACGGACTTCTCCCTACCTTCTCCCCATCCTGGGCCCCCTCATAGGTTTCTTATTAGTCCTATCCTTTGACCCCTGGGCTTTTCGGAGGTTAACAGATTTTGTAAAGAGTCTGACCGGACACCCCTTGAGTCGCAGTGCAGTATTGACTCACGAGTGAAGACTCGTTTTCCTGAAAATTCTCCCATTCTCCTTTTCAGGCTTATCAGAATCTGAGATCTTTATCTGTAGGAAAAATGTAGCAGTTTAAATTTCTAGAGGCTGGAGGCCTGAGAACAGTGCTGGACCTGCTCACTCTTCCCTCTGCCTTTTCTAAATATTTTAAAATAATGAGAGATTTGAAGTATGGTTATAGATTTTTGAAGGACATAGAAAGAAGGTTTAAAAGCTAATGTAAAATAGTGAAAGTTTTTATGAAAGTTGTCCATGTGAGTCCGAGAGGAAAGGATTTAGACAAAGATTGGAAGAGAAAGTGATATGGGTGTATAAGTGTAAGTATGTATGTGAGAAAGAGAGGGAGAGAGACAGAAGGTGAGGCCAGAAGAGACAGAGACGGTCTGAAAGAAAGGGAGACTTAGACTCTAAGGGTTTTTAACCTCGAGGATGAAGACTGACAGGACCAGGGCTCCTTTCAATTAAGCTCCCAAGGGTAAGCAAGAATAGAGGGACCCCCTGGGAATTCGGGCCCCAAGGAAATCCCTAGGAGAGCATTAGAAGGTTGGTTTCACAGAGATTAAGCCACAGCATTAAGGTCTAAGTACATGCTAGTTTTTATAGACACCTTCCCAGATTAGGTTGAAGCGTAGAATAGGAACTGCCTCTATAGTAGTCAAGAAATTAACAACAGATTGACAGCATCTTGGCCAAACCCATCCAGGTACATTACCACCGTTTAGCAGTAGCTGACCGTGAGCAAGATTATGAACTTTACCATCGCTCCCTCCCTGCGGGGACAGCATGATGACCAGAGGAATGCTTACCTACTCCCCACTAAGGAGAAAGGTATGGGTACCGATATGGGTGCAGAGCAAAGCATTGCAAGGGAAGGCCCAAAAAATTTTCCGACCCCCTCTTCCCAAGGGAAGGTCACGGGAAAATTTCGACCCCCTCTGGATTTCCCTGTGAGTATACCTGGTTTGCATAGAGGTTGGTATCAATACAAATCCAATCGGCTCTGCCTCTCCTCCCCAAAAGATACCAAGAGCCTCTACTAGCACTGGTGGGCCTGGGAAACCCACGGGAGGAACCAGGTCACTACTCCCCCAATCGGTTAAGGCCCACCCTCAATAAGACAAAGAGGGAGGAGATGTTGAGAGCCATCAGAGTAGAGACAGGCAACTCAGTCTTAAGGAAATAGAATTAAGTTCCTTCTAGCAGAAGTTATGCGGTGTCCTGAGGGTTTGGTCAGAAGATAAGATTAACCTGCTGCTTAGCATCTCTGCAACTTATCCTTCCTGATCCTCCCCCATAGATAGTCCAGCCTTGGAATGTTACACCTGGGAATGTTACGCCGCCCTGGCAGTTAGCCAATCCTCTGTTGCCAGATACCTTACCACCTTGCCACTCAGTGCCTAAACCAATTGTACACTGCCAAAGACCCCTCTGCGTAGGCAACCCTGCCCCCCTTTGTTTCTGCTATATATAAACAGCCATTTCAAAGAATAAAGTCGAGGCTTGATCAGAAAAAAAAAAGTGAGAAGTAGAGGAAATATTTTAATATTACTATTTTCCCTTTCTCTATAATAGAAGTATCAGAGATGAAAGAAAATTAGTAAAATGTATATGAAAATCTCCCTCCTGTAAGTCTGGGGCATGCCGCCAGCACCTAGAATCACACCCACAGCCACACATGCTGCAAAAAACACAGGAAACCCAGACTCAGCCGGCCCCACACTCACTGGCTAAGACCCAGACCCAGCTGGCCCCACCCCATCAAGCCCCTCAAGGTGGGGGCCACACCTTCAGGTTCCCCAGCCTGGAGTCAGGCAGGGGGAGCAGCCTCAGGTCCCCCATCCCAGCATCTGGCTGTGTGGCGTAGCCTCAGGTTCCATCAAGCCCCACCTGGTGAGGGATGCAGCTTTAGGTCCCTCAGCACAACCTCAGGTCCCCCAGCCCATTGCTTAATCAGAGATGTGCAACCTGAGGTCCCTTGTCAATCCATTCCAGGCTGGAGCACAGCCTGAGGTCCCCTACCCCAGCCAGGCACCATGCAGCCTCAGATCCCTTTTGTTTGGTCATTATGTTACAGTGTCCTGGCCAATTTAAATATTACTCTATTATTAGTATAGATATCCTATATACAAAAAGGGTAATATCCAAATTAACCCTAATGGCGGAATGACCCATCGCTATGACACGCACTGACTACCCGGGGACAGATTCTCAATGCAGGAGCTGCCTTTTGGTGGTCAGTAGGCTCCTGGGGGGATCGGGGGGGGGGGGGGGGGCGAGGGGAGAGTGTGTCTGCTCAGCCACTAGCCAGGCTGATGGTTATGAGCTCTGCAATGATGGCAGGAGCCTCTCCCACCTCCTCTGCGGCACTAAGAATGTCCATCAGTTGGACATCCCCCAAGGACTCCTGGCTGCCAGAGGGATGTCTGACTGCCAGCTTAAGCCCATTCCCTGGGGGTGCGAGTCTAAGCCAGCAGGTGGACATCTTCCAAGGGATCCTGGACTGTGATCCCCCCGAGTGTACGAATTTTCATGCATCAGGCCACTATTATCTATACTAATAAAGGGTAATATGCTAATTTGATTGGACAAATGTCTGTTTTGTCCTATTAGACAAATGAACAATGTTTTAAGACATCCTTCTACACAAAGCCATAATGGTGGGAGCCAAGGCAGTGTCACTTAGGGGTGACCAGGTTGGCAGGGGAGGGCAGTTTGTGGCAACCAGGCCAACAGGGTAGGGCAGTTAGGGGTGAACAGGCTGGCAAGCAGAGGTGGTTAAGTGTGATCAGGCAGGCAGGCAGATGGGTTAGGGGTGATCAGGCAGGCAAGCAGAGTAGTTAGAGGCAATCAGGAAGGCAGGCAGGTGAGTGGTTAGTAGTTAATGGTACCAGACTGTGAAAGGAGTGCCAGATTGTAGAGGATGCAAGCCAGGCTGAGGGAATCCCCCACCCCCCATGCATGAATTTCATGCACCTGACCTCTAGTAGATATATAAAGACAAAAACTGATGAATGATATATCTTTCTAAGAGCAAACCTATCATTATCTATAATAATAAAAGCATAATATGCAAATCGAACAAAAAAACAAACAATAGAACGTCCTTCTGGACGACCAGGCTATGACATGCACTGGTGTCAGGCCAGCCAAGGTAAGTTCAATGCAAATGGTCGGGGGGACTCATCATTGCCCCACAATCATCCCACAGAGTGAGCCCCAGTCTACCCTCCCCAAGGCAATTGATTGGGGGACTCAGCAATCAATCTATTGCCCCAAAGAGAGAGGCCTAGGCCACAAGCCATGGGGTGATCGATGGGGATGGAGGCTCCATGATCACCTCAAAGAAGGAGGCCCAGGCCACCCTCTGCATGGCAGAGCCCCAGCCAGGTGGGCAGGGCCTTCATCTGTGGAGTGATCGATCATGAAGTCCTGAAATCAATCATCCCACAGAAGGAGTCCCAGGCCTATGAAGCAATTGCACCCATGCCTGTTGCCCACAGAAGGAGGTGACCAGTGCAGCAGAGGTGGGGCAGTGCCTCACAGATGGCCAGCAGTATCAGCAGTGGTGCCAGTAGCTGAGGGAAGGAAAGCCCAATAGGTCCTGATCACTATCCAGGCCTAGAGACCATACCTGAGGGGTCCCAGATTATGAAAGGGCACAGATCCCCTCCACCCCCATGCATGAATTTCATGCACCAGGCCTCTAGTTGATATTTGCCTAGGTCCAGAAAAAAAAGGGACTTGTACAATGCCACATAACTGTTGACTTCCAATATGATAGTCTTTCCTTCATGATATTGCCTGTGGTTGAGAAAACCATAATTTTCATAATCTTGACAATAAACATGCCTAGATTTACCATTTTATTTTGTGAAACTTGAGAAGAGTCAACCAACAGGAAAGACATATCTTAGAGAGAACTTTAGCACATACATATACACAGATAGACACACACACTTTTATTCATATGCATATTAATACTATCTATACATATAATTATCAGAGCACTTATTTATCAAATTTAGAGGTATAAAGAGAATATATTACCTGGACTTTAAAAAAATCTTCTATTTTAAGCTCTTTGGCTGAAGACCTTTTCCTGTAATTAAAAAATGTTTTAAAATATATCATGATATTTTTAATTGCACAGCTAATTTTTACATGTATAAGCCCTTATAAAAATGAAAATCTTCAAAAGAAATTTATGTATTTTTAAAAACCACATAGGTTAAATGATAAATAATTAAATAACATTTCTCAAACTAACTTCGTATTTCTATGATTAAAATATGGAAAGATGAAATAGGGCAAGGAATTTCAAAGTACATTGGTCCATTTTTCCCCTCTGGTTATCTTTTCTATCTAAGTCAAAGATCAAAGTCATTTGTCCAATGAATTTCTTTATAGATTTTTGGAGCTATATAAACATGAAATTCATAATTTCTTTTTAAACTGTATATTTATATTTGGGTTTGACCAATCCAATTTAAATGCAAAAGTTATTTTATTTTACTAAAGAGGTTATTCACTTAATAAAACCAATTTATAAAATCCATATGCATTAAAATATAGGTAATTGTTTTTATAAAATAAGTACAATGAAGTTCTGTAAAGCCCTGGCTGAGTGGCTCAGGTGGATGGAGTATCTTCCCATACACCAAAAGGTTGTGGGTTTGGTCTCCAGTCAGGACATGCATGGGAAGCAACTGATTGATGTTTCTCTCTCACATTAATGTTTCTATCTCTCCCCATTTCTCCCGTTCTCTCTCTTTAAAATCAATTTAAAATATATCCTCGAGTGAGAATCTTAAAAAAAGAAAACAAGAATTTCAGAAAAAAAAAAAAAAGAATTTCAGTTAAAAATAAAAAAACATAGGCCAGACTATGGAGTTAATGTACAAATTGCAAATCATTAGCTAACCCATCAAAGACACAATGTAAATTCTTTTCCCTAAAATTATTTACAAATTTAATTCTGCCTGCCGGTTCCTAAATGTCTTATGATTCATTCTCCTCCTCTTTAGTTCATGTTTCCCTTCTCAGCTTTCTCCCACAATCATATTCTTATTTGCTTATAAAACTATATATAGTAATGCATCATTAACAATAAGGATACATTCTGAAAAATCCATTGTTAGGTGATTTTATTATTGTACAAACATCAGAGAGTACACACTGACATAAACATAGATGGTATAGTCAACTATATACGTAGGCCTATTGCTCCTGGCTACAAACCTATATAGCATGTTACTGTGCTGAATACTGTACACAGTTGTAACAATGATAATTGTGTACCTAAATATAGAAAAGGTACAGTAATAAGCAGGTCCCATGGTGTAATGGTTAGCACTCTGGACTTTGAAAAGGTACAGTAATAATATAGTATAAAAATTTATAATGGTACACCTACATGGGGCACTGATCATAAATGTAGCTTGGAGAACTGAGTGAGTGGTGATTGAACATGAGGCCTAGAACATTACTGTACAATACTGTAGATTTTATAAACACTATTCTTGGGCTACATGAAACTTATAAATAACATAAGATTAAATAGTGCACAAGAGAAAATTATGCAATTAAGAGACACAGTAACATGAATATATATGAAGTTGCTTCCAGGATAACATGACATATTGTTTTACAATAAACATTGTTTAAGTAGAAAGAGTACACTCTGAAATAACAATAAAAATTGTAAATATATAAACTGGTAACATAGTCATTCATTATCATTATCAAGTACTAGAGGCCTAATTCATGAAAATTCAGGAACAAGAAGGGGGTCCCTCAGCCTGGCCTGCCTCCTCTCAAAGTATGGAGCTCTTATGGGCAGGAAGTGACCCAGCGATCAGGGAAAGGCAACTCCCCATCACACCTCTGCTGCTGCCACTGCCCCCAGCAAAAGTGTTAGCCATTCCTGGTTACCTGAGCCTCGGGTGGCCATGGATGGCTGAGCAGTTGACAGAGGGGCTTGCCTATACTTAAGGGCCAGCCTGGATTGCTGGGTGATTGAGGGGCCTGGATGGCTGGGTGGCTGAGGGGCCTAGAGGCAGGTGCATGTAACAGTTGGGCCTGCCTGGAAATGGACTCAGCCTTGCCACAGACCTGCCACTCGAGTGGGGCTGAGGGAACTGGGCACTGCCATCTTGTGGCTACTGGTGTTGCCATCTTTGAGAGTTGGGGCAGTCAATTAGCATATGCCCTATTTATTGGCCTTGGGCACCACCATCTTTTTGATAGCATGAGGGTCAATTAGTATATTTTCTCTTTATTAGATAGGAAGATGTACTGTACAAAGTTGTATATCCTATATTTTCATACAATTGGCAGTGCAGTAGGTTTGTTACACCAGCATCACCTCAAACAGAATAATGTGATGTGCTATGACATTAAAACATCTACAATGTCACCAGGTGATAGGAATCTTTCATTTCCATTAAAATATTTTAGACTAAAAAATATCTCATCTGCTGTTAGCCAATATGTAATTGTAATATGGCTCATGCCTGTATTTACTAATGTTGTTTTTTAATAAGCCAATTAATAAGTTATATTTATATTGCCTCAAGTTGTATAAAATAAAAATGTAAATTAACAAGGAAAGAAAACTTTAGCATGTATCTTTGTCTTACGATTCTGAATCCACAGATCTATCCTTAGATCTTTTCTTCTCCATTTTCATAGCTTTCTTCGCTCGTTCATAATTCGGCTTTGTTGTCTGTGTGATTTTACATAAGCCAGAAAACGTTAATGAGACAATAAATTATAGGGAAATATATGATAATAAACATTATTAAGATTTACATTTTACTTTGAGAATCACTATACTATTTTTCAAGTAAATTATCAGAATAAAAGGGAAAAATTAATGATACAATCAGAATGTTTATTATAGTTATTTACATATGTAAGTTGTATATAGGTTAATATATATAAAATTAATTAAATTCCCCTGATAAATTATAGTCTGTTCTTTTATAATATGGCATAATTTCATGAAAACCCCCTCACTTTGAAAAATCATGCAATATAAACTGCAGGATGTATGGGGAAATAAGATTAGGTGCACAGCACACAAAAAGTTGTCAGAGATACATTTTTTAAAATAGTAACCTAATAGAAACATAAATACACATTTATACAGTTAAATAATTATAAAACATGTACTATGAAAAACATATTTTTAAAAAATGGATCACATATTGGGTAACAAGCCAAGTCTCTCCAAATTCTAGAATACCGAAATCATACCAAGCATCTTCTCAAACCACAATGCCATACAATTAGAATAAACTACAAAAAAACAATCTAAAAATCTCAAACACTTGGAAGCTGAATAGCATACTATTAAATAATGACTGGGTTACCAAAGAGATCAAAGAAGAAATTAAAAGGATCCTGAAAACTAATGACAACAAAAGAACAATAATCCAAAATCTATGGGACACAATGAAGGCAGTCATTAGGGGGAAGTTTATAGCTCTACAAGCCTATCTCAAAAAACAAGAAAAAAATGGTAGTAAATCATCTAACTCTACAACTCAAAGAATTAGAATGACAGAAACAGAAAAGCCCAGAGTGAGCAGGAGAAAGAAGATAATAAAGATCAGAAGAGAAATAAATGACATAGAGACCCCCCCCCAAAAAAAAAAAAAAAAAAACAATACAAAAGATCAACAAAACCAAGAGCTGGTTCTTTGAAAGGATAAACAAGATTGATGAATTTCTAGCCAGGCTCACCAAGAAGCAAATAGACAGGTCTCAAATAAACAAAATCAGAAATGAGAGAAGCGAAATAACAACAGACCCCACCAAAATACAAAGGATTCTTAAAAAATACTAAAACAACGCTAACCCAACAAACTAGACAACCTAGAGGAAATGCACATATTCCTAGAAAAACACAACCTTCCAAAACTCAATTGGGAAGATTCTAAAAATCTCAATAGGCCTATAACTATGGAAAAAATTAAAGCAGTCATCAAAAAGCTCCCAGCAGCTGAAACCGGTTTGGCTCAGCGGTAGAGCATCGGTCTGTGGACTGAAAGGTCCCAGGTTCCATTCCAGTCAAGGGCATGTACCTTGGTTGCGGGCACATCCCCAGTGGGGGTTGTGCAGGAGGCAGCTGGTCGACGTTTCTCTCTCATCGACATTTCTAGCTCTCTCTCTCCCTTCCTCTCTGTAAAAAATCAATAAAATAAATTAAAAAAAAAAAAAAAAAAAAAAAAAAAAAAAAAAGCTCCCAGCAAACAAAAGCACGGGGCCAGATGGCTTCACAGGAGAGATACCAAACATTCAAGGAAGAGCTAAAACCTATCCTCCTCAGACTATTCCAAATATTCAAGAGGAAGGAACACTTCCAAACTCCTTCTATGAAGCCAGCATCACCTAATACAAAAAGCAGATAAAGACAACTCAATGAAAGAGAATTACAGGCCAATACCCTAATGATCATAGATGCCAAAATCCTGAACAAAATTCTAGCAGATCAGACCCAGCAGTGCATTAGAAAGACCATACACCATGAACAAGTAGGATTTATTCTGGGAATGCAAGGATGGTACAATATCCACAAATCAATAAACAATACATCACATAAACAAATTGAGAGATAAAAACCACATAATCATACCAATTTACACGGAAAAGGCATTTGACAAAAATCCAATACCTCTTCTGATAAAAAAACTCAACAAGGTGGGAATAGTAGGATCATAACTCAACATAATAAAAGCCATATATGAAAAACCCTCTGTCAACATCATACTCAATGGGCAAAAACTAAAACCATTTCCCCTAAGAACAGGAATAAGACAGGGATGCCCACTCTCACCACTCCTGTTCAATATAGTACTGGAAGTACTAGCCATTATGATAAGACAAAAAGAAGAAATAAAAGGCATTCAAATTGGAAAAGAATAAGTAAAACTGTTCTTATTTGCAGGTGACATGATATTGTGCATAAAAAACCCTAAAGACTCCATCAAAAATTATTAGACTTAATAAATGAATTTGACAATGTAGCAGGATACAAAATTAATGCCAAGAAATCTATGGCATTTCTTTACACCAATAGTGAACTTATAGAGAGACTACAAAAGCAATCCCATTTATCATTGCACCAAAAAAATTAAGATACCTAGGAATAAACTTAACCAAGGATGTAAAAAACCTATATGTGAAAAACTATAGGACACTAAAAAAAGAGATATAAGAAGACATAAATACATGGAAGAACATACCATGTTCATGGACTGGTAGAATCTACATCATCAAAATGTCCATACTACCCAAAGCAATCTACAACTTCAGTGCAACCCTCATTAAAATATCAAAGGCATATTTCCAGACTTACAACGAACTTTCCAAAAATTCATCTGGAATTTAAAAAGACCCCAAATAGCTGTAGCAATCCTGAGAAAGAATAACAAAGATGGTGGGATTTCAATACCTGATATCAAGCTGTATAACAAAGCCACTGTTCTTAAAACAGCCTGGTACTGGCACAAGAACAAACATATTGGCCAATGGAACAGAACAGACAACCCAGAAATAGACCCAAACCACTATGCCCAATTAATATGACAAAGGAGACACGAACATAAAATGGAGTCAAGACAGTCTCTTCAACAAATGGTGTTAGGAAAATTGGACAGAGACATGCAAAAAAAGAAATGAAACTAGACCACCAACTCACACCATACACAAAAATAAATTTAAAATGGATAAAGGACTTAAATATAAGACAGGAAACCATAAAAATACTAGAAGAATCCACAAGCAGAAAAATCTCAGACATATGCCAAAGGAACTTCTTCACTGATACTGCTCCTAGGGCAACAGAAACTAAAGAGAAAATAAACAAATGGGACTACATCAAAATAAAAAGCTTTTGCACAGAAAAAATAAATAAACAAAAAAACAAGAAAGCCCACTGCATGGGAGAACATATTTGGCAATATCACCATTAAGGGTTTAACATCCAACATTTACTGGAACTCATATAATTTAACAAAAGTAAGATAAACAATTTAATTTTAAAAATGGGCAAAAGACCTAGATAGATACTTTCCAAAAAAGGACAGAAGAAAGGCCAAGAGACATATGAAAACATGCTCAAAGTCACTAGTCATCCAAATGATGCAAATCAAAACAATGCAGTATCATCTCATACCTGTCAGAATGGCTATCATCAACAAATCAACAAACAAGTGTTGGCGAGGATGGGGAGAAAAAGGAACACTCCTGTACTGTTGGTGGCAATGCAGATTGGTGCAGCCACTATGAAGAACAGGATGGAGTTTTCTAAAAAAAAAAAAAAAAAAAAAAAAAAAAAAACTAAAAATGGAACTCCCATTTGACCCTGAAATCTACTTCTAGGAATATATCCCAAGAAACTAGAAACACAAATCAGAAAGGATATTTGCACTCCTATGTTCATAGCAGCACAATTCACCATAACTAAGACTTGGAACCAGCCTAAGTGCCCATCAGCAGATGATTGGATCCAAAAACTGTGGAACATATTCACAATAGAATGTGAAATGCTACAGTAAAAAAGGAGTTCTTACCATTTGCAACAGCGTGGATGAAACTGGAGACCATTATGCTAAGTGAAATAAGCCACTCAGAGAAATATAAATAACACATGATCTCGCTCATTTGTGGAATGTAATGAACAACATAAACTGATTAACAGGGATAGATCCAGAGGCAGAGAAGCATTGATCAGACTGCCAGACCTCAGAAGGAAAGTAGGGTGGGGGAAAGGAGGAGAGATTAACCAAAGGATTTGTATGCATAAATATAAGCCTAACCAATGGACACGAACACCAGAGGAGTGAGGGCATGAGTTGGGAGAGGTTGGGGGGTAAATGGAAGGATGAGGACACATATGTAATAACTTAATCAATAAAGAAATTTTTTAAATTAAAAAATTAAACAATAAATTCTTAATAAGAATTGTTAAGGCCCAGAATTTAAATATGAATCTTTGGATATACTTAGTATTCAGAAAAATCTAATACATATTGGCAATCAAAATGCTAGAATAATGAAAGGAAAAAAAGTCAAAAAAATAATGAACAGATCATGAGTGAGCTATATGACAGTTTCAAAAGAACTAATGTGCTTATAATTATAAATCATGATGAAGAGAAGGGGTAAAGAAAAAAAATAAGTATTTAAAGGAATAATGGCTAGTTTCTTTTCAAATTTGAGGGAAATTATATATGCACAAAGCCACAATAATTAAAAAAAAAAACTACTTCAAGGTATCTATATTAATAAAAGGGTAATATGCAAATTGATCAGTACACCCTCACAGTAATGCCTCAATAGCAGGCTGCATGGGGAGACCAGCCTGGCAGAGGAGTTAGTGAGGGATAACCAAGTGACTGAACAGTAGGCTATGGGGGGAGACCAGGCTGGCAGGTAAGGGCAGTTAGGGACAAATCATGCAGGTGAGCAGTTAAGAGCCAGTGGTCCCAGATTGTGAGAGGGATGCCAGATTGCTGGTTAGGTCAAATCCCTGTTAGATATCACCCAAGGGGTCCTGGATTGGAGAGGGTACAAATTGGGCTGAGGAGATCCCCCCGCCCCCGTCCCATGCATGAATTTGTGCATCAGGCCTCTAGTATCATAATAAAGTTATTTAAAAGCAGCAGTAAATTCTTAAAAGAATACTGAGAAGCAGATTACATACAAGAATAAAGAGGA